CTTCTCATGCTACTTTTCCAGGCAAAACTCAAAACCCCACAGAAGCAAAGTGGTAGAAAGGATGTTTAAGCTCCGCCTGAAGATTTATTCTTTCTGTTTAAATGATAGATCCACGCCAGGGAGACTCTGGTGGGATTTTCCTAAACTATTCACAGGTTGCTTTCTGTTTCTCTTTTTCTCTGAATAATCCATTTTTTGAAGTTGCAGAAACTCAATTCAGCCACAAGGGAGCGCTCAAGTCATTTACTGACCTTAAGTTCTGGTTGGTGGGGAAAGGTTTGGGTGAGGTGCCTGTAATGTTGGAAAACGTGAATCAGGATGTGTCTAGTACTGTAGGTCCACAGGGATCTTTGATCCACCTGCGCCTCCAGTCCAAGATATGTCTTCTTTATGGTCCTGAGTACATCTATGTACCTGGGCAAGTGCTGGGAACTTCCAGCTCTGATTTAAGAGAAAGATGCCTCTGATCTCCTGAGGATCTGTGGCTTTGGAATTCTGGAGAAGGTGACCATGTCTCTATTCCACTGTCCCCACAAACACAACCATTCGTCTAACACATGTTAACTAAGCGCAGTGGGTAGGAATAATTTAAGGGTGGTCTGTGGTTCTTTTCAGGATTCATTGTAAGACAATGATTATCTTTAAAAGTTCCAGTAATTCTTAGCAGTTAGACTACACTAGAGGACCTGGGTAACAGAAATTCAGAATTGATTTGCAGGAAACCTGGGCATTTTCCACTTAGGTGCTGAAGGAACTGGTGAAGGATGTGGGTTTTGCTTAGAATTTGTCTTTCCTGTCTTTACCTGCAGGCTGGACTGTCGGAGCTACAGCTTGATTTATTGAGCTAAACAAGTCGGCTACTAATTTGTTCATTCATGGCTGTCCTTTGAGAAGTGGTGCTGGGGATAAAGATGGAGATCATTGAAAAACAAGTCAGTTTCAACGGGCAGGACCTCGCAAAGTAGGTCACCCTGGCTTTCCAGTGGGCCGAGGGGGCCTGGAATCCCATTAACCTCAATCCGTGGGTGCTAGGAGGAGGGGCGGGACTGTTTCTGAAAAATAAAACTTGGCTGCATGTAGTCTTCTTAATTTGACTTCCTAATGAGATTTGGAAGAGGAGAGGGGAGCAGAGGGTATGGGAAAAATCAAAGGAAAATTCCTTCCCCTTAACAAGCTTGTAGAACCCAGTGGAGAGGTTTGCATATTGGGAAGGCCTGAATGTTTGCCATCAATTAATTCTCTTCATTGGGCCTCAGAAAATTTAAGGGATAGGTGAAATGTGGGAAGTGGTCTCCAAATATTTCTTTCAGTTATTCAGAGAAACAATCTGGTGGCTCATGCTTATAATCCTAGCTACTCAAGCGGCTGAGTTTTGAAGACTTTTGATCCAAAGTCAGCCAAAGCAGGAAAGTCTATGAGACTCTTATCTCCAGTTAGCCATCAAAAAGCTGGAAGGGGAGCTGTGGCTCAAGTGGTAGAATGCTAGACTTGAGCAAAAATGCTGAATGACAATATCCAGTCCCTGAGTTCAAGCCCTAGTACTGGCTGGTGTATGTGCACGTGTGTGTACACACACACACCACACACACACACACACACACACACTTCAAGAAAACAAACTTCATTAATTTTCATTCCCTTGCAAGCTGCCATTTGGGCTTTCTCCTTCGTAGCAAATTTCACTGAAATAAGCACAGTTGTTCACACTCCATCTACTGTGTGAAGTTTTCCATTCCACTACAGAAAGATTCTCCATAAGGTCAAGGTGATCCTCATGTCAAAAAATCCGAAGAGCAAATTGCTGTTTTCCTTGATCCTTCCACTGTACTGGGCCTACCCATGTAAGCTTTCTGAACCCTCGCTTTCAGGTACGGGGCTCCTTCTGGATGTCTTTGCTGCTCCTTGTTTGCTTCCTTTGCAGGCACGGTCCTCTTGAGCATGGAGTGTCAGAGCTCTGTGGGACTCTATCTTAAGCCCTCGACTCTGTTCTCAGCTGTTCTGTCTGTCTATGCCCTGGGCATTGGTTGTCTCCTATTCCTCAATGACTCTCAATTTTGTATCATAATACAACTCTTTCCCTGAGTTTCAGAGATGTGTAGCTAAATCATTACATAACCAGAAGGATCCTGTCAAAGTAAAGAGTAAAAGCATTGAAGTTGGTCAGCTAGATATGATGGAATTCTGGTTCACCCAGAACTGTCATATAAGCTCAAAGTCTCAGTTTCATCATCTGTAAAATGGGGTTACCACATGGGGCTATTTAAGGATTACATGGAATGACAAATGTGAGTACCTAATATGGTACTAGGGTACACAATAGATGTTTTAAGTAAAAAGGTTTCAATCTCTTAACTCTCTCCCTTTTGTCTCTCCTTACTGAGTAGATTGGGTTTTTCAGTTTTCACTTTTCTGAACACATAATCTTCTAGGTATAAAGATTCCTTACAAGTTTTGGTCCAGCTGCCCCTGACCCATTCTTCCCCTCCTAGAGGGCTAAAGGTGAGGGATTTAAACATGTAGGTCTGGGAGCTGACAAGATTCAGGAAGACCTAACTGCTGAATAATGTCAGTTACACAAAGAGATTTGTGAGTTCACAGGGTGCTTTCTGGACAGATGGGGCTGAGAGGCAAATGCCTACCTCACAGGACAGTAGGCCCTGCCTCCAGTTGCTTCTCTTTGGAGAGAGAAAGGATTTCCTGGCTGGGAAGGTTTTCTGCTGTGCTGGTGCAGTTCCAGGTATGTGTGAAGGATCCAGAGCAAGGCTTGAGATCCCAGCAGGTTAGAAAGCCATTGTGTGCAGCCATTTGGACTCCCTCTGCTCAGCTGTTCAGGGCAAGGAGCATTCTTCCAGACTCAGCCATGTATCTAACATATGTACTTCCTTTGCTAACTTTGCATACCCCTGGGCTGTGCTGTGTCCCTTCACAGGGCTTCTAGAACTGGTTATACTAACACTTACCTGCCTAGAGCATACAGGGAAGCCATGATGATATTATATTTTGAATATTCTGTATCTATGGTGCCATCTGGAATTATGCAAAAGAACAGGCCTGGAGGGATAGAATTCTATTTGTTATCTCTCTCCGCTCTGGGTTGGGTGGTCAAAAGGGGAGGGACTGTGTATAAGGCTGGCATATGATGAGGATGATCCATTAGTTTGCTCATAGTTGAGTAGTTGGGCACCAGGTATGTGACAACAGTTTTTCCTGCTTCTAGCTAGGAAGGTATGTGTGGCCTTCATCTCTTGCTGCCCCATCCAGGGGAGCCTCCTTTTTAGTTCCTAATATTTTGAGTATGATTTTTTTTTCCTACAGAGCAGGATCTCACCTATTTCCCATGCTGGTGCTGCCCACATCAATACCCTTGCTCATGGGTGCAGACCACCCTATGGAGGGGCTAGCTAAGCCATTCTCCATAAACCATTTCCTGATGGGCATTTCCAGGCCTTAAAGGATGAGTGAAATCAAAGCTTAATCAAGAAACCACACAGAATTCAGGGTGGCCAGAGTGGTACAGAGCAGGGAATGAACCCACAAGAATGGAGGCTATGTTGTTACAATCTGTGGTCAGTCAAACTGAATGAAGGGGTCTGGACTTGATCCTGGAGGCTAAAAGGCCAGGGAAGGATTCTAAGAAGGGGAAGACACAATAGGTTAGAGTCTTAAAAGATTATTTTGGTAACAGTATAGAGGAGGAGTTAGGATGAGGGAGACTAGAGAACAGTCAAAGTAGGCTAGTTATGAAAAGATGACAGTGATTTTGTTTAATGGTAGGGGAATGGTCAGGAAAGGATTGGGCTGTTTTATGAGATAGTTAGAAGGTAGAATCAACAAGACCTTATAACTTACTGTACTTCTCATGTTTCCCCACATAGACGAGAACCATTGGTTTTTCAAAGGTAAAAGTGATGAGTTCCATTTTGGACATGATGAGTTGAAGGTCCATATGGGCCATCCATGGAGAGGTGTCCAAGAAACTGATGGATATTATCACTATAGCTACTTATCTATGTATTTGCCCATAAATCCATCCATCTATCCATCCATCCATCCATCCATCCATGTAGTCATACATGCATGCAAGCATATATCCATCTATCTGGAAGGTTTTGGAGCTAGCAACATACCCCTAATCACTGAAGACTCCAAGAGACAGGAACTGAGAACAGACCCAGAGTATGTTTGGCTTTCCATCACTCAATTTTGCTTACAGTGAATACACCTGTGTGCTCTGAGGATAAATATGCACTCAGCCTGTTGTAGCTGAGGGCATGAATAAATACGTAATGATTGGCCATTATGTCTGAGTTGGGTCCCTGGTGGGAAGGACTACTGGGGGAAAAGCCTACCTTTTGAGAGGACAGAAACATGTATAAAACGCATGGACTAGCTGGGCACCAGTGGCTCATGCCTGTAATCCTAGCTACTCAGGAGGCTGAGATCTGAGGATCTTGGTTCAAAGCCAGCGCAGGCGGGAAAGTCTGTGAGACTCTTATCTCCAATAAACCACTAGAAAACTGGAAGTGGCTCTGTGGCTCAAGCAGTAGAGCACTCACCTTGAGCTGAAGAGTACAAGGACAGTGCCTAAGCCCAGAGTTCAAGCCCCTGACTGACTCCCCCCCAAAAAAACAACAAAAAAATGGGCTGTAGTGGTGCTGTGGCTCAAGTGGTACAGTGTCTAGGCCCTGAGATCAAGCCCAGACTGGCCTATATATACGTATATATATAATAAAAAAAACAAAGCTTGTTTGGGCTGGGAAGGTAGCTCAGTGGCAAAGCGCTTGCCTAGCAAGTGCAATGTCCTGGGTTTGATCCCCATAACCAAAAATGAAAAAAGACCAAACAAACCCTGGACTCCACATGGGCAACACCTCACTTATCACTTACCTGTTCACCTGAGAGGCATCACTGACTCTAATGACACCACTGCTTCGATGCTGCCCTTACGTAAGTGGCTCCCATGGCAAGGTTAGGGCAGGGCCAGGGTCTGTGCTACTTACACATTGAGAGGCTGCCAGGCTGGCCACTGGGCTTTGGCTTTGATGACAGTGAGGACCTCGTCACTCTGAAAAAAAAAAAAATCATACATTCAGTGAAGAGAGCTGTGCTCTTGGGAATAAGACGGACTTAGCATGGTGACATTGTTTACCCCCCTGGGTGGGGCTGTCATGCCCAGGACCTTCAGGGACACCCAGAGGTGGCACTGGGTATAGAGTGCCTGATGGTGCTGGGACACTGAGGGACCCACAAGCCACACCTTTGCTTCTCTCCCACTCAGCCCAGCCTTTCCCTTGGAGCCAGAGCTGGACTGCATCATGGTTGGTCGGACTTCCATATGTTGTCCAGCCTGAAAGGCTCAGTCCTGTGCTCTGTGTCCAGGCCGGGGGGGGGGGGGGGGATGAGTAGGTGCTACCGTGCAGCCAGAAGGGGAAATGCAAGGATTGTCACCCTGGGACTCCTGCTGTGGAGACCCAATCAAGTTGACAAAGAGGAGCACTCAGTATGTATATTGCTCCTCTCATGATGATCTGCTTTGCTATGTTTGGGTCATACGTAAATAGCACCATTAAAGTATGTTGGGGGTGGAATCAAGGTTTTTTTGTTTTTTGTTTTGTTTTGAGTCAGAGTTGATAATTAGCTTTTTGAAGGAAAGCATTAAGGGGTCAACATGGAGAAACTCCCCCCAGAACTTTGTTGATGTTGCTTTAATTTACTTTGTGGTGTGGTGGGTTTTACTTCTAATTAAACATGGGGTCAAGGGTGTCATGATCTTTGCAAGGCTGAAGGCCCACAGAGCTCTAGATTCGGCTTTGGCAGCACTCTCCTCGGACGGAGGCCACTGGTCTCGGATCTCCCCTTCCCCTGGCCCGGGCCAAGAAGAGCTTTGACACCTTTGGCCATAGTGCATCACAAACTCGAGAATATCACCAGCTGGTGAAGGAAGAGAGTCACTGCCAACTGAACAGATCCCAGAGTTCCAGGGGGCACAGGCTTTGTTGGCAGTCTCAGAGCTATGCTCCAGTCCTCAGAGCTGTGCCTGGTCAATAGGATGAATTGGTAAGCTGCTCCCCAGAGCCCTGAGAAAACTGGAAGGAAAGAGAGCTGAGGTGTTTTCTAGGCTCTGGCCCAAAGATTATAAAATGCCTTCTTGTCCAGACCACCTTGGCTGCCACCAGGGGAGGGGTCATTTAGTGGTGGCCACTGAGAGGAAGGGAGCTCAGCCAGATTGAGCTTAACCTGAATCTCTTGCATGTGGTCCTGGGGAGGGAAGGGCAGAGGCCAGGCCACAGGGCAGGGCAAGAGTCTAAAGCTTCTTCCTACAGGAAAGCCCCTTGGGGTGTCTGCTTTTGGTAGAAGGAAGGAATCTTTGAAGACAGATTGCCCCAGCATTCACAGATCTGCAGGAAAAAAACCCACTTCCTAGCCCCACTTGAGTGGTTAGGTTTTTCAAGGAAGATTTGTTTATAATGTATTCCTCCTAATGAATCTGTAGAAAAGCTGTTTACCATGAAGTCATGGCGCTCAACACATTCTACGTCAACATCTACCTTGCTGTCTGCCTCCTTCTCTTTTTCTAGATTTTTACCATTTGCTACATCATCCCAGATATCTTACAATACATAGGCTACCACACTGTACGTAGCTTCTCTTACAAAAATAACATCATACTGAATGCTTTGTTCTACACCATGATTTTAACTTTAATATTGTCCTTAATATCATATATCATGGGAGGTTTTCCATTATTATATACTATAGACTACATGTATAATAATACATATGATATACATGATTGATATTTATATCGGATATAAATATCAGGACATAGCATTCCTTTTTTGAATTTTTTTTTTTTTTAGTGCTGGAAATCTTCAAATTATGGCAGGCTAGGTCAAGACATAAAAATAAAATCTAAGGTGATTCAAGTAATGAGATACTCTTGCTGACATTTCTTTTGCCCTTGAAGAAATTTTTCACACACACAAAAAATCAATGTGGGTGTAGTTGAGGTAGCTACCAAGATAGCAGGTCCTACAGATTCACCTTGCTTTACAATTAAATCTTGGTTTCTAGGGCCCAGCTAATGACATATTGATTTTACTTTTTAGTATATAAGTCAACAACAATAGTTCGGGCCCTCCATTAGTATTTATTTACAGTGATGAAATTCCATCTGTATTTTTAGATTTAGCTCCTAGGATGGTTGGTTCTTCTATGTGAGAATTACAGGTTCTTGCTATACCTTGTCTGATTTAGGAATTTCACAGTATCTGTTCCTGTTTGTGATCTGTTCCTTTTTGTGTTAAAGAATATTCTGGAACATTTACCTGAAAAGTAAAATATTTAGCCAGGTGCAGTGGCTCAAGCATATAATCCTAACTACTGCGGAGGCAATGAAGTTGGAGGCCAGCTCAGGCAAAGTTTGCCAGACTTCATCTTAGCCAATAGCTAGGCACTGTGGTGAGGCTTAGCATCTTAGTGACAAAGAGAAACACACAGTGGATTGCAGTCCAGCCCAGCCCAGACATACAGCAAAACCTCGTTCTTAAAACAACCAACGTTGAGGGAAAGTAACAGAAAGCAAGGGAGGAGGTAACAATATTCGACAAGAAATGTACTCATTACCTTCCTATTGGAACTGTAACCCTTCTGTACATCACCCTTATAATAAACAAAAACAATGTAAACAGGAACTGGTAGAATGGCTCATAGAGCCTACAGAGAGCAAGGCCCTGAGTTCAAACTCCAGTATCGCATAAATGATAAATAAATATAAATACATATACATATTTATATATATATATATATATATGATGGCACATACCTGACATACCTGTAATCCCAGCACTCAGGAGGCTGAGGCAGAAGAATCTGAGTTCATGGTCAGCCTGGGCTACACAGAGAGACCTCTCAAAACAAATAAGCCTAAAATCCTAAATCCTAAATATTTTTTGAAACGTCAGTATTTTCTGCTATAGCCTTAAGGTCTACAGGATTGGAAAGGGTTTAGCTTATTCATGGCTATCCAAATAGTCAACTAAACATGAGACCTCAGTAAAATTACTTTCCCTTCCCCCTACTCCCTCTACCTTTCCCCTCTGCTCTCCTTTTATTATCCTCCCTCCCTCCCCCCTCTCTCTGGACAGGGTGTCTATAAATTCCAGGCTGGCCTCAAACTCATGATCTTCCTGCCTCAACCTCCCTAGTGCTGGCATTACAAACATGAGCCACCATACCCAGCATAGTGTATGTATTTTTTTGTTCCCATAAGAGTCCTATGTCAGGCTGGGTGCCAGTTGCTCATGCCTGTAATCCTAGCTACTCAGGAGGCTGAGAACTGAGGATTCAAAGCCAGCCCGGGCAGGAAAGTCTGTGAAACTCTTATCTCCCATAAACTACCAGAAAACCGGAAGTTGTACTGTGGCTCAAGTAGTAGAGTGCTAGCCTTGAGCTGAAGAGCTCAGGTATAGCACCCAGGCCCCGAGTTCAAGTCCACAACCAACAACAACAAAAAAAAAAAAGGAGAGAAAGAAAATACAAGAAAAGAAAAGAAAAATTTAAAAATGGGTCCTACGTTGCTGATTGCCAAATGTGTTCAAAAGATGCAGAAACTTAAAACGTAGCAGGTTCCTTCATGTCTGAACCAGTTTGCGCTCCCAGAGGGACTGTAGATATGCCTGTGTCCTCCTAGCTTTGTGCACACTGCATACTACCCAGCCATTGTTTCTATGTTTATTAGTCCAGTAGGAGGGAAAGTAACTGTGTTGAGAGTAGAAACTGTGGAATCCAACCTGAGTTCAAGTCCTGATTGCACCATTAACCGATTGTGTCCTTTGGGAAGTCTCTATACACCTTAGTTTTCTCCTCCATGAGGCAGGGTTGAAACCAATTCTCAGCATGCAGTTGTTACAGGCACTAAATGACATGCCAGTGCAGTGCGTGGCACACAGGTAGTACTCTGTGAATATTAGCCACCATTCTATTCATAGGTACCTTTGCACAGAGTGGGTGTTAGATTGGCACTGTCTGAGGACAGAAAGTGGGGTTCACTGTTGCTGATGAGCCCACAAAGCTAGGAGAGCTTCCTCCCCTTGGCAGCTTTGAGTCTCTGGGAACATCCGATGGGGAGTATTAAGCCATCAAGGGGGCTAGGATGGCGTCACTGGGGCACTGGCGTTCACATCCTGAAGAACGGAGGACTTAAATTCAGAGTAAGCAATCACACATCAGATTTAAATGAAGGCTTGTTTTAACAAGTCTCAAAGGCACAGACAGGATCTTTCAAGGATCCTTAGAGCCCTTTTACATTTCCCACAGGACCCTTTGCAATCAAGGCCTTTATAGTACACGCCTTGTTTGGATGACATTAATGCTTCTCCAAAGATATGCCAATTAAAATGAAAAACCCCAAAGAAACTCCAGGTCACACATGTCCATCTTCCATTTGCTTTAGGTACACATGTTGGAAGATGTGACAGCTGTACTCAGAACTCATGGCTAGGAGGACGACACCGGGGAAAGCACAGCTCAAAACAGGCTTGGGCTGTGGTCAGATTGTAGGGACAGGCTTGAGGCAGAAATGTCGTGAGCATCAGGAGCTGCAGGTCTGGACAGAGAGGAAGAATGTGAATGTGAGTGTAGGTAGCTCCTCCTCCCATGGTCTCCAGAGCAAAGCTCCAACCAAGGGCAAGCTCCAGGCATCTCAGCCATGCCTGCAACCAAAGCCCCTGGCCGAGTCGGTCACCTTGTCTCCATCGGGCCTCAGCTCCTCCTCTGTTCCTTTACCTTCCAGGCTCTTGAACTTTGACTTAATCTCCCTATCAGTAGCTATAAGCTGCTTCCTCATGCTAAGACCTACAGTCTTGCAGTCAGTTCATACAAGATGGTCATGAAGAAACTCATGATACTAGATTCCAAAACAAGGATGCCTGACCCTGAAACTTACCCCCTTTCCACTTTGTTGACCTTCTTCCCTTCCATCCTCCTCAACTTCTTCTCCCACTTTGTTCATGTGTCAGCAAGAGCTTTGGGCAACTCAGAGCCTCTGCTTTGAGATACCTGGAG